AAAAAAAAAAAAAAAGAAAAAGAAAGTGGCATACCAGGACTGTAAACACCGGAGCCTGCTTAGATATCTCTGTGGTTGAGCCAGTAGGCCGATGTTCATGAATGAACACAGTCTGCCAAATAAGACAAAAAATAAAATAAAATAAAATAAATCATATGAGAAGTGTGATTCTATTTTTGGTTCATACACACAAATGTGCATATGTACACAAAATAGCATTTATGAATAATCAGTGTTTCTGCTGAACTTATTTCTCTAGTACATGTTTCTTCACTCCATATACTGTGTAAGCATTTTATAATGAATCCATGATTTTCATAGTTTGGGTAAACAGAAAAGTACTTTCTTTTAGTATTTTTGTTTGTTTGTTTTTTAGATGGAGTCTCACTCTGTCGCCCAGGCTGGAGTGCAGTGGTGTGGTGCAATCTCAACTCACTGCATAGCTGGGACTACAGGTGTGCACCACCATGCCCAGCTAAGTTTTGGATTTTTAGTAGAGATGGGGTTATCACCGTATTGGCCAGGCTGGTCTTGAACTCCTGACGTCAAGTGATACCCTTTGTCCCGTCACATTTATCCCCCAAAATGCTTTATGTTTACGGCTTATTGTCTGCTTCCTACCCCACAAAAAATGTTCTCCACGGCAATGACGTTTGTTTCATTCACTGATACATTTGAAACCACTTGCAACTGTGCTTGGCTCACTGCAGGTGCTCACTGCCTCTCTGGTTAATATCTGAGGGGAAACGGGTCTATTCTGGGCGGTTGTCTGGTGCCGCCCACGCCCTCTCCAAAATTCACATAGACGCAGAGTTGCAAGTTACTTCCTCTGCGAACCTCCCCTTCTCTTCGGAAGAACCAGGAACCCGAGGCCCGACAGCTCACAGGGGCCCTCTCGTGGCGTGTTGGCGCCTAACGGCTCAGCCAGGACCCCGCCTCAAACGCGTGGAACTACACTTCCCAGAATGCCAGCGTCCTCCCGTGGACTCCATTTCCCAGAGGCCTCAGCGCCCCCCTCGCCCCCCTGCCCCGGATCCCTGGCGCGCCGCTGGGCCTGAGGTCGCCCTGACGCCGCCGGGGCGGAGCCGAGTGGCGCGGCTGTAGCCGGGCCGGTTGGTTCCTGAGCCTCCCGCCTGCGGAGCGCGGCCGGGAGGCGAGGCCCGGGAACGCCCGAGTCTAGGGAGGTGAGCGACAGAGGCGTGCTGGCCGGGAGGAGGCGGCGCCGGGCGCGGGGACGGCCTGCGGTCGCCGGGGTTCCGAGGGCCTTTGTGGGCGCGGGCGGGCACCCTCGCGTCTGTCACGGGCCCTGGACTCTTGCCCCCCAGCGGACCGCTCCGCGCCACTGCCGGTGCCCCCGCGTCGGGCTCGCAGCCGCCAGCAGTGGATGCGGGGACAGACATTTACTCCAGGGTCCGCCCTGTCCGCGCCGTGTGGGCCTCGCGGACTCGGGCGCCAGGACCCCGAGCGCAGGGCGGACGCAGCGGGGTCCCCGGTTTCCGTGTTTGTCTCCAGCGGTGCCGCCCCTCCCTACTCAGGACACCTATCGCTTTTCTCTTCAAAGCCGTTTTCTGTGGAAGTCAGGAGGTGATTCCTTGGCGGGAGGCAGAGGAACCGGGTGGAAAAAGGCTCGGAGTGGAGGGAAGTCGTCCCCGGGGCTGTCGTGTTGGGAATGCCGGTTCTGCCTCGCCAGGGCGTGAACGGGGCAGGTGCCCTGGCGCTGCCTCAGTTTCCTGAGCGGTGCAGTGGGTGTTGGCAGTGCCATCTGGCGTCGAGGGACTCAGCGGCTCCGGGCGGGCCCTGGCCCTATTGGGCTCAGCTTGTTGCTGCCGCCGCGGGTCCAGCGTCCGCTCTGGAAGCCCAGAACCCACGAGACCTGGGCCCGGACGGGCGGTCCAGCGCTGCTTCTTCGCGGGCTCTTGGCTCCTCCCTCTGAGGGCGCACGGGGTTGGATTTCAGAGCTGAGGATTCCAGGGCTGGAAACCAAGAAAGGGCTCCCTCTTGGCCCTTTTTTTTTCCTCAGATCCGCCTTCTGAAGACAGCACGCTCGTCAGGGAAGAGCCCAGGAAGAGGACATGGCTGCTGGGCAGCGGGAAGCGAGGCCCCAGGTGAGCTCATTGCCCTTTCAGATCCCAGTGGATAGATTTTCCCACTAATTGAAGTTCCTCACCCGGAACCATCTTCAGCCAGAATGGCACCCAAGTCCTTTTCCCTTAGAGGAGCTGGTCCGCCGCCATGAGTGGTAGGTTCTGTGTGGAGAACCACCCACCCTCCCCATTTGTATGGTGGTTTTTTCTTTTTTTGGAGTCTTGCTCTTTCACCCAGGCAGTGGCACGGTCTCAGCTCACTGCAACCTCTGCCTCCTGGGTTCAAGCAGTTCTCGTGCCTCAGCCTCCCAAATAGCTGAGATTACAGGCGAGCACCGCCACACCCGTCTTTTTTGTGTGTTTTTAGTAAAGACGGGTTTTCACCACGTTGGCCAGGCTGGTCTTGAACTCCTGACCTCAGGTAATTCACCCCCCTCAGCCTCCCAAAATGCTGGATTACAGGTGTGTGCCACTGTACACAGCCCGAATCATTTTCTATACGCATTTATTTGTGTGTGTATGCATGTATGTATTTTACCATTTTAGCCTTTTTTTAAATTGTGGCAAAATATATATAACAGAAAATTTACCGTTTTAATTTTTTTTTTTTTTTTTGAGAGAGTCTCACTCAGTTGCCAGGCGCCAGGCTGGAGTGCAGTGGTGCGATCTCGGCTCACTGCAACCTCCGCCTCCCGGGTTCAAGCAATTCTCCTGCCTCAACCTCCTGAGTACCTGGGAGTACAGGCAGACGCCACCACACTCAGCTAATTTTTGTATTTTTAGTAGAGACGGGGTTTCACCATGTTGACAAGGATGGTCTTGATCTCTTGACCTCGTGATCCGCCCACCTCGGCCTCCCAAAGTGCTGGGATTACAGGTGTGAGCCACCGCGCCGGGCCTACCGTTTTAATTTTTTTAAGTGTATAATTCAGTGGCATTTAAAGTACTTTCACATTGTTGTGCAATCATCATCACTGTTCATCTTTATTTCTTAACCCTAAGGGGCAGACATTAAAAGGCAGTTTTACAGAGTAGTTAAGAATGGAGGCTCAGTCAGACATCTGCCTGGATTTGAATTACACAGGAAAAAACACGGTCACAGAGAGGATAAAAAAATTTGTACAAGTCGGTTGGCTGCAGTGGCTCACGCCTGTAGTCCCAGCACTTTGAGAGCCTGAGGCAGACAGATCACCTGAGGTCAGGAGTTCAAGACCTGCCTGGCCAACATGGTGAAATCCCGTCTCTACTAAAAATACAAGAATTAGCCAGGCATGTTGGCGGGTGTCTGTAATTCCAGCTGTTTGAGAGGCTGAGGCAAGAGAATCACTTGAACCCAGGAGGCGGAGGTTATAGTGGGCCAAGATCATGCCATTGCACTCCAGCCTGGGCAACAAGGGCCAAACTCTGTCTCAAAGTCACAAAGCTGGTCAGTGACTCTGTGACCTGGACAAATTTCTTATCCTGTCTGTGACTTTTTCTCTTGTGTAAAGTGGCAACAGTAAAAGTACCTGCTTCATAGAATTGTTGTAAATATTAAAGGTTATACACTGCAAATTAACATAAAGCTCTTAGAACAGTACTTGGCCCGTAGAAAGCCTTCAATAAATTACAGCTATTTTACTTTTCATCGTTACTCTCCTTAAGCTTGCGTAAAGCACACAGAGAGTTCCTTATTTAACTTAACCTCCATCATTAAGTATTTAGATTGTTCCTGGTTTTTTTGCTCTTACAAACATGAATATGTTTGTGTACTTTATTGCACTGTTCTTTACAGTACAAATAGAGTAATTGATACTTAAGGCTTCTAATATGTATTATCAAATCACCATCAGAAAGAATATTCTAATTAACATTTCCTCTGATAGCCATAATCCCTCTACCCATCCCTTACAGTGGCTGGACAAGGCCTGGCTCTCACTGTGTGCTGCTCAATGTATCTTTGTTACTGGCCAATTGTTCATTAAATGAATGACCTGGAACCTTCAGAAGCTTGAATAGTATCAGAAGCATTTCTTGGGTAGCTTGTCTTCCCCACTGCTGCCCTCTTCACTCTGAGGGTGGTCCTGGGTGAGCTGGAACAGCTTGTCCTTACAGGTGTCACTGACGTTCGAGGATGTGGCTGTGCTCTTTTCCCGGGAGGAGTGGAGGAAGCTGGCTCCTTCTCAGAGAAACTTGTACCGGGATGTAATGCTGGAGAACTATAGGAACCTGGCCTCACTGGGTAAGGAAATTTCCCTTCTGGAAACAGAATTCAAAAGTTGGGCTATCTCAGCACGCCCTACCCTGAATAAAAGCTGTTGGTCACTGAAAAACTTGAGCTGAGTTTGAGGATTGTACAAATCAGATCTTTATAAATAAATATTAAAAACATACTCCTCCTTACAGGCATGGAATTGACCCTGTGTCTGGGAATGGAAGAGGTGGTATTGATAATCATTCCCCTCCCTTCATGTAATTGCACATTCAGAGTTTATTCATGTTTCAGGCATCATTTACCAATGATTGTTCTGTAGTTTGCTCATCTCAAGGAGGGCTTCATTCAGATTCTAGGTCTACCACTTGCCTTTCCCACTTGTTTTTTCCAGGGATCAGCAAACTTTGACTATAAAAAGCCACATAGTAAAGATTTTAGGCTTTGTGGGCTGCAAAATGGTGCCTCTAACACATTTCTCTTTTTGTCCACCATTCTTTGTACAAGGCCATACATAAACAGGCAGTGATCTGGATTTGGCCCATGCCCATAGTTTGCTGAATGTTGCCATCCTTAAAAGGAAATCAGATAGTGTTTTCTCCTTTTAAACAAACTACGTGTACATAATCCTTTTCATAGATAACCTACTTAAAAATTTTAATCAGTCTCTATATCTAACATTCCTTCTTCTATAGAAAGCTAATAGCACCCTATTAATTACAAATATGGCATGTATATTGTATTTTGTTACCATATAGTTAATTATACCAAAGTCCTGTCCTACAAGTCACTTGTCTTTTCCTTACCCTACCCCCTTACCTCCTGGGGGCACAACTTAAGCACTACACGGAAGCTCTTTGTACCATCCTATGAGTTTTGTGTTTAAATTTGGGATAACTATCAAAACAAAAAGCCTGATTTTGCTTTTTTATCTGTGTGCAGGGCTCCCATTTACCAAACCAAAAGTGATCTCCCTGTTGCAGCAAGGAGAAGACCCCTGGAAGGTGGAGAAAGACAGTTCTGGCGGCCCCTGTCTAGGTAAGTGGGTGGCCCAAGGTGCCCGGGAATCGTGGCAGGCAACTCTCTGGTTAATGAGAGGAGGTACAGCCGGAAGTGTTGGTTGGGAAACTCCCTTGAGGATTCTCAGACCTTCGGAAGTGGTGAGGAAGGGGAAGCCCAGGCTCTTAGATGCGATTATTCCCATGTAATCACTTCACCATGAATATCCCAGAATCTCTTCTTGCTCTTCCTGTTGTTTCAGGAGAGGGCTGTGTTTTCATATATCGGTTAAGCAAACATAGAATATTTAAGGAATTTCGAATAATTCACTCTGGCTGAGCTCAGGGTGTATATTTGGGAAAAGGAGGAGGTAAGGAAGGAAGTAGCCTAGAAAGCTAGGAAAAGGCCACGTGGTGAGTGCTTTGGCACAGTTCTGAGAGGTGGAAACTGTCCCATGGAGCCCTGGAAATCATTGAAGGAGTTGGGCAGGGAATCATATGGTCTTTGGTATCTTAGAAAAATTGGTCTGAATTAGAAACAGTTGAGCCTCCGTCAGTGTGAGAACAGCAGTGTGTCGTTCCTCTGGCAAGCATCACCACCCTGAAAACAAGAGCACAGGGACATGCACAGAGCTCCCTGCAAGTTACAGAGCATTGTTACGATGTCACCATTTATGTTTAATGAAAATTATATGCATGTGTAATGTGCACATAAGCCCAGGGAGAATATTAAGGAGGACACACTTAGCTGGTGACGTTAGTTACACTTGGAATAGGATCGAGGATGGGTCCCATGAAAGAGAATGTTATTTATATGTAACGTTTTAATTTTTCGCAAAGAGAATATATTCATGACATTCTTAATGTGATTTGAATTTATAAGAATGGTCACTTTGGAAGCATCATGACTGAAAGTGAAGCAAAACTCCAGGCGTGGTGGTTCATGCCTGTAATCCCAGCACTTTGGGAATCCGAGGTGGGTGGATCACTTGAGGTCAGAAGTTTGTGACCAACCTGGCCAACATGATGAAACCCCATATCTACTAAGAATACAAAAATTAACCAGGCGTGGTGATGGGCGTCTGTAATCCCAGCTACTCAGGAGGCTGAGGCAGGAGAATCACTTGAACCTGGGATGTGGGTTCTGGTGAGCCACAGTTGCACCACATTACTCCAGCCTGGGTGACAGAGTAAGATCTTGCCAAAAAAAAAAAAAAAAAAAAAAAAAAAAAAAAAAAAAAAAAAAAAAAAAAAAAAAAAAAAAAAAAAAAAAGTGAAGCAAAACAAGAGGCAGGAAGCCTTGCAGAGCAATTGCAGTCGTGGAGGGAGGCAGGAGGTGGAAGGTACCAGACAAAGGTACTTGCCATGGTTCGTGAGGGATGAGGAGGCACCTGCATGATCAGAGTACAGGAGGAGTTGAGTGTGAGATGAATTTTACTTGAGATGCAAGTGAAGTAGGTGGAGATTGCTAGTGGGCAGGTGTATAAGTGACAGGCCAGGACAGTGCCAACACTCAAGGGAAGTCAGGGAGACATCAGCATGCCAGGGGCATTGGAAGCCTAGAGCTGGCTGGGTAGGGGGCTGAGCAGAGGCCCAAATCCCAGGAAATCAGCATTTGTGAGGCACTTAAGCAGGAGGAATTGGTGACAGAGTCCAAGAAGTAATTAGAGGAGAGAAACGGGAAGGGGCCATCGTGGCAGTTGGGGACTGAGAGCTGCTGAACTGGGGAGTTCTGGCTCTGGGTGATCAAGGATGAACCCTTACCCATGGCTTTGCTGTCCTTTGGTCAGTGATGAGCGATCCGTGCTGAGCGCTGGCAGTATAGAATTGGGCAGAAAGGGACACAGGTCTTACACTTCTGGAGCACATGATCTAGTGAGGGAACAGGGTGAACACACTCTTTGCACACAAGGCATAGAAGGACATGTCCCGCTGAGGACCATGTGGGAAAGACATTCGGTGCTGTGAGAGCACAGAGCAGACAGGTGGCATCAGCAAAGGCTTCCCTGAGGAAAGGCCCAGGATCCGAGAATATGAAGAATTGCTCCGCCTAAGAAATGGTGTCTGTGAAGGTCTGGAGAAGCAAAGCCAGTGAGGAGAAGGCAGAACAGGCACCCAAGAGAGCCACGGGCTCTGTCACAAGGTTTGGTTGGTGCTTGAGAGCCAAGCACAGGCTCTGAGGAGCCATAAGTAGCCCAGGACAGGCCCAGGCTGTGTTCTGCTGGCACCAGCATGCAGCCCATGTGGAAAGGCTGACGGCTGCAGTGCCAGGGCTTGTCAGGTCCAGATGACTCAGTGATAGCCTGCTGTGCCATGGGCCCAGTGAGGAGCTGCAGGGCAGGCAGCCTCGGTCTCCACAGCCCCTGTGCTAGGGAAAGCTTTCTCCTCTCTGAAGAAAGTTGAGATTTTTTGATATGGGAACCACACTTGTCTGTCTTTTTAACACTTCTGAGGGAGAAATACACTACATGGTCTGACCCTGGCTACCTCTTCACCCTCAACTACTTCTACCCTGCCTTTTATTCGAGGCCTCTAATTACCCTTGGCAGCCCTGCAGTTTGTCGGAGGTTCAAGCAGGCCTCCACTTAGGGCCTCTGCCACTGCTTTTTTCTGTCTGGGACTGTTCTTTGTGGCAGTCATGTGCCCATGTGGCTCACTTCCTTGTGCTGCGCAGGCTTCTACTCACACAGGCACAGCTCGTCTGACACATGGCCCTCCAGTCCCCACACTGTCTCTTTGGCATGCTTTATTTTCCCTCCCTGTGCTTAGCACTATGTAATAGTACCTATTTCTTCATGATCTGTATCTTTCTTTGCATCATTAGCTGCTGTAGAAGGTGTTGTCTCTTTCATTCACTCGAATTTCTGAAAACCTAAAACAGTCCCTGGCCAGAGTAGGCTTCCAGTTATACAATGAATGCATGAATAACTTGAACTAGGTTAGCGGTGTTAGGGACAGAAAGAAGTGAACCAGTCCCAGAGGTATCTGGGAGATAAAGCCAGCAGGACTTCTGTTAGACATGGAAGATAAAGGAGATGGGGCGGTAAAGAAAATAAAAACAAAGGCTGGTCATGGTGGCGCACACCTGTAATCTCAGCACTTTGGAAAGCAGAGGTGGGTAGACCACAAGGTCAAGAGATTGAGACCATCCTGGCCAACATGGTGAAATCCCGTCTCTACTAAAAATACACAAATTAGCTGGGCGCAGTGGTGCGTGCCTGTAGTCTCAGCTACTGCAGAGGCTGAGGCAGGAGAATGGCTTGAACCCAGTAGGCAGAGGTTGCAGTGAGCTGAGATTGCACCACTGCACTCCAGCCTGGTGACAGAGCAATGCTCTGTCTAAAAAAAAAAAAAGAAAAAGAAGGAAAATAAAAACAAACGAACTAAAGGGAGATGGGATTGTTGTCAGGGATGCTTGCTTGATTTCTGGTTTGTTCTGTCATGGTTGGTGATGTCATTCAATGAGATAGGAACACTAGAAGGAGATCAGATTTGGAGATAATATAAATCTGGTTTTAGAGGAATTAAATTGAGTTGTTTTTGGTTGACCTAGTTATCCCAATGGTGATGACAAGTAGTATTGATTTTGGGGTACTGTATCTCAAAGTATAGACTGAGCATGAAATGTAAATTTGGGAGACCCTGGTTAATTATAAGGGAACTAAAATAATGGGGGAGAGTGATTTAGCCTAGGGAGAGTGTTCATATTACAGTAAGAGTAAGAAAGAGCATGAGACCGAATCTTGAGGAACCCCAGCATTTCAGGTAAGCCAGAGAAATGAACCCATAGGGAAGACAGGTAAAGTGTACTATAAGGAAAATTAGGAGAGGCAGGTAACATTGGAGGCAAGGCTTATGATGGGACAGTAGCAGTAGACGGGGCAAAGTAGAGGAATATGAGGCAGGTTTAGGTGGCAGAATAAACAGGTCTTGGTAATTGATGAGATGAGGAGGCTGAGGAATAGAGAAGTGTTAAGATTAACTCTTAAGGTTTTGATTCAGAACTGGTGCCATTTACAGAGACAAGGGGTTGACCAGGTCGGAGGGAAAAATCGTGGGTTTGGTTTCAGGTGTGTTGACTTTGAGGCATCTAAGGTGCTATTTTGAGTAGGCTGGCTGTAAGGGGGAGTTGAGTACAGGAGATGTCTTTCTTAGAGGATGAGTCTACAATTGAAGTTTCCTGTGGAAAGATGCAGAGTGAGAAGAATTGGGGGCCTAGAACTAAACCTAAGGTACTCCAAGATAATATACTGTGGTATATCCACACAGCTGTAAAGTGGAATGAGGAAGACCTGTATAAATTCCACTGTGGGCTGATCTCCAGAATGTGAGAACAAGTACAGAACAGAACAGTAAGTATAGCACTGTTATCTAAGAAAGGTGGGTAGTGCATACGAAGAAAAATGTGTGTGTATTTGCTTATACTGTTATGGACCACATAATGTTGCAATCAGTGATGGCCTGCATATATGATGTTGGTCCCTTAGATGGTAACACTGTATTTTTCCTGTCCCTTTTCTATGTTTAAATATGTTTAGATGCGCAAATACTTAGAATTGTGTTACAGTCGCCTACAGTTTTCAGTTTAGTAACATGCTGTATGGGGTGTAGCCAACGAGCAATAGGCTATAGCATATAGCCTAGGTGTGTAGTAGCCTATACCGTCTAGGTTTGTGTAAGTGTACTCTGTGATGACTGCACAGGACAACATTACTAATAACGCATATCTCAGAACATATCCTAGTCATTAAGCGGCGCATGATTATATATTTTTAGAAAGATAAAATCAAAAAATAAAGGAGATTAATAAAAGTGGTTATCTACAAGGTGAAGGAAGAAAAAGAATGGAACAGAGATAGAATCTAGAACTTTTTGAGGTTTCATAATTTTGACTTCAGAACTATAAAAATGTTTTATAAAATTATAAAACAAAATTAAACAAAAATGAGAAAGTGCCCCCTTCATATTGAAAGCAAAATGAAACAAAGAACCCTAATTATGTTCCAGGTTGGTGGCTTAGCCACAGAAAGTATTACTTGA